GAACGCAAGCGCTTGTACTATTGGCGCGCTTTTACTGTAGTATGAAATTTAGTGCAACTTAAAATGAAGAGGAACTACAAATTGTCAAACAAAGGATGGAATCACCTAAAACTCAAACATTCCGTTTAGAGTGGTTTTCAGTTGAGTGTCGTAAAACCAATTACTTACCAATTAGACAACTCATCCAATCTCAAACGGTTGTAAAACCAAAACCAAACTAATTGCCTGATTACTTTCGACATTCAATTGAAATCCACTCTAGAACTCGATGAGGATCAGTAGAACTCATCAAATGTTGAATGTTTATCGTGGTAGATGCACTTAGCTACAACTGGCTGGTTTTCAGATTTACAATTGTTAGATTTAATTTGATTTTCCAATTTTAATTTGAAGTTAAAATAAGTGCTCTACACTTCACCATAAGGGAAAAAAGCAGCTTTGATCACGTTTCAATCCTTTTTGAAAGAGTGCAGGTAAAATCAATGGTGATGATCACTGTCTCACAAAAAAATCTTACCTATAATATGGGAATCAATTGGCCAAAAAATCCACATGCATCAGCGTGTTCTTATTTTCATTGTTAAAATTATATTCATCTGATTCATCGCATTTGTTGATGCAAGAAGAAATTCCACCTTGCTTTCCGGCGAGATTTTCTTTGCCCTTAAAACGTGTCTGTAACTTAGTCTTTAGCTCACTCACTCTACTGTATTTTTTTTTCTTTACCACTTTAACACTTGGTTTTAGATTAAAACAGTGTTTTGATTGTGTAAAAGCGTCCACCACCTTTTATTTTGACTAAAATGTAGACAGTTTTCTGTCGGGCTCAATGAACGCAAGCGCTTGTACCACTAGCGCGCTTTTGCTGTAGTATGAAATTTAATATCACTAAAAATGTAGGCGTAGGACGGAAAGGAACTACAAATTGTCAAGCAAAGGATGGAATAAGAATCACGCAAAACTCAAACATTCCGTTTAGAGTGATTTTCAGTTGAGTGTCATAAAACCAAACCAATTACTTACCAATTAGACTACTCATCCAATCTCAAGCCGTAGTAAAACCAAAACCAAAGTAATTGCCTGATTACTTTCG